GTCGCTGTTCAACACACACACACACACACACACACACACACACACACACACACACACACACACACACACACAGCAGTGCTGATCTGGAGATGGAGAAGCAGATCACCAGCAGGTGTCCCTGTTCAACACACACACACACACACACACACACACACACACACACAGCAGTGCTGATCTGGAGATGGAGAAGCAGATCACCAGCAGGTGTCGCTGTTCAGCACACACACACACACACACACACACACACACACACACACACACAGCAGTGCTGATCTGGAGACGGAGAAGCAGATCACCAGCAGGTGTCGCTGTTCAGCACACACACACACACACACACACACACACACACAGCAGTGCTGATCTGGAGACGGGGAAGCAGATCACCAGCAGGTGTCGCTGTTCAGCACACACACACACACACACACACACAGCAGTGCTGATCTGGAGACGGGGAAGCAGATCACCAGCAGGTGTCGCTGTTCAGCACACACACACACACACACACACAGCAGTGCTGATCTGGAGACGGAGAAGCAGATCACCAGCAGGTGTCGCTGTTCAGCACACACACACACACACACACACACACACACACACACACACACACAGCAGTGCTGATCTGGAGACGGGGAAGCAGATCACCAGCAGGTGTCGCTGTTCAGCACACACACACACACACACACACAGCAGTGCTGATCTGGAGACGGAGAAGCAGATCACCAGCAGGTGTCGCTGTTCAGCACACACACACACACAGCAGTGCTGATCTGGAGACGGAGAAGCAGATCACCAGCAGGTGTCGCTGTTCAGCACACACACACACACACAGCAGTGCTGATCTGGAGACGGGGAAGCAGATCACCAGCAGGTGTCGCTGTTCAGCACACACACACACACAGCAGTGCTGATCTGGAGACTGAGAAGCAGATCACCAGCAGGTGTCGCTGTTCAGCACACACACACACACACACACACACACAGCAGTGCTGATCTGGAGACGGGGAAGCAGATCACCAGCAGGTGTCGCTGTTCAGCACACACACACAGCAGTGCTGATCTGGAGACGGAGAAGCAGATCACCAGCAGGTGTCGCTGTTCAGCAAACACACACACACACACACACACACAGCAGTGCTGATCTGGAGACGGAGAAGCAGATCACCAGCAGGTGTCGCTGTTCAGCACACACACACAGCAGTGCTGATCTGGAGACGGAGAAGCAGATCACCAGCAGGTGTCGCTGTTCAGCAAACACACACACACACACACACACACACAGCAGTGCTGATCTGGAGACGGGGAAGCAGATCACCAGCAGGTGTCGCTGTTCAGCACACACACACACACAGCAGTGCTGATCTGGAGACTGAGAAGCAGATCACCAGCAGGTGTCGCTGTTCAGCACACACACACACACACACACACACACACACACACACACACACACACACACACACACACACACACACACACACACACAGCAGTGCTGATCTGGAGACGGGGAAGCAGATCACCAGCAGGTGTCGCTGTTCAGCACACACACACACACACACACACACACACACAGAAGTGCTGATCTAGAGACGGGGAAGCAGATCACCAGCAGGTGTCGCTGTTCAGCACACACACACACACACACACAGCAGTGCTGATCTGGAGACGGGGAAGCAGATCACCAGCAGGTGTCGCTGTTCAGCACACACACACACACACACACACACAGCAGTGCTGATCTGGAGACGGGGAAGCAGATCACCAGCAGGTGTCGCTGTTCAGCACACACACACACACACACACACACACACACAGCAGTGCTGATCTGGAGACGGGGAAGCAGATCACCAGAAGGTGTTGCTGTTCAGCACACACACACACACACACAGCAGTGCTGATCTGGAGACGGAGAAGCAGATCACCAGCAGGTGTTGCTGTTCAGCACACACACACACACACACACAGCAGTGCTGATCTTGAGACGGGGAAGCAGATCACCAGCAGGTGTCGCTGTTCAGCACACACACACACACAGAAGTGCTGATCTGGAGACGGGGAAGCAGATCACCAGCAGGTGTCGCTGTTCAGCACACACACACACACACACACACACACACAGCAGTGCTGATCTGGAGACGGGGAAGCAGATCACCAGCAGGTGTCGCTGTTCAGCACACACACACACACACACACAGCAGTGCTGATCTGGAGACGGGGAAGCAGATCACCAGCAGGTGTCGCTGTTCAGCACACACACACACACACACACACACACACACACACACACACAGCAGTGCTGATCTGGAGACGGAAAAGCAGATCACCAGCAGGTGTCGCTGTTCAGCACACACACACACACACACACACACACACACACAGCAGTGCTGATCTGGAGACGGAAAAGCAGATCACCAGCAGGTGTCCCTGTTCAACACACACACCGCAGCGCTTCAACACACGTTGATAACGTCACACACTGGCTGATAAACACACACACACACACTACCTGTCCCTTGGTGAAGAAGTTGGGCAGGTACTTCATGGCGTTGCTGCGCAGGCAGGAGATGTTCTGGTACCGGCCCGGTTCTGCCGATCGCAGCGAGCGAATGCGGTCCTGCACGTAATCGGACACTTTCACACGAATCTCCAAACCCAGGATCAGCCGGTCGGGGAAGAGCTCTGACAACTGAACTGAGACAAAAGTCCAACAGCATTTAACATCACATCTGTTAATGTTGTCCTGAGCTAATCATCAGTGCGTCTCACAGGGTTAGGGGTTAGGATTAGGGTGCGTCTCTAACTCAGCTGGCACAGGCTCCGTCAGGGCAAGGGTTAGGGGTTAGGGTGCATCTCTAACTCAGCTGGCACAGGCTCCGTCAGGGCAAGGGTTAGGGGTTAGGGTGCATCTCTAACTCAGCTGGCACAAGCTCCGTCAGGGCAAGGGTTAGGGGTTAGGGTGCGTCTCACAGATGGCACAGGCTCCGTCAGGGCAAGGGTTAGGGGTTAGGGTGCATCTCTAACTCAGCTGGCACAAGCTCCGTCAGGGCAAGGCTTAGGGGTTAGGGTGCATCTCTAACTCAGCTGGCACAAGCTCCGTCAGGGCAAGGGTTAGGGGTTAGGGTGCATCTCTAACTCAGCTGGCACAAGCTCCGTCAGGGCAAGGGTTAGGGGTTAGGGTGCATCTCTAACTCAGCTGGCACAAGCTCCGTCAGGGCAAGGGTTAGGGGTTAGGGTGCATCTCACAGATGGCACAGGCTCCGTCAGGGCAAGGGTTAGGGGTAAGGGTGCATCTCTTACTCAGATGGCACAAGCTCCACCAGGGCAAGGGTTAGGGGCTAGGGTGCGTCTCACAGATGGCACAGGCTCCGTCAGGGCAAGGGTTAGGGGTTAGGGTGCGTCTCACAGATGGCACAGGCTCCGTCAGGGCAAGGGTTAGGGGTTAGGGTGCGTCTCACAGATGGCACAGGCTCCGTCAGGGCAAGGGTTAGGGGCTAGGGTGCGTCTCACAGATGGCACAGGCTCCGTCAGGGCAAGGGTTAGGGGTTAGGGTGTGTCTCACAGATGGCACAGGCTCCGTCACGGCAAGGGTTAGGGGTTAGGGTGTGTCTCACAGATGGCACAGGCTCCGTCAGGGCAAGGGTTAGGGGTTAGGGTGTGTCTCACAGATGGCACAGGCTCCGTCACGGCAAGGGTTAGGGGTTAGGGTGCGTCTCACAGATGGCACAGGCTCCGTCACGGCAAGGGTTAGGGGTTAGGGTGTGTCTCACAGATGGCACAGGCTCCGTCACGGCAAGGGTTAGGGGCTAGGGTGCGTCTCACAGATGGCACAGGCTCCGTCAGGGCAAGGGTTAGGGGTTAGGGTGTGTCTCACAGATGGCACAGGCTCCGTCACGGCAAGGGTTAGGGGTTAGGGTGCGTCTCACAGATGGCAAAGGCTCCGTCACGGCAAGGGTTAGGGGTTAGGGTGTGTCTCACAGTTGGCACAGGCTCCGTCACGGCAAGGGTTAGGGGTTAGGGTGCATCTCTAACTCAGCTGGCACAAGCTCCGTCAGGGCAAGGGTTAGGGGCTAGGGTGCGTCCCACAGATGGCACAGGCTCCGTCAGGGCAAGGGTTAGGGGTTAGGGTGCATCTCTAACTCAGCTGGCACAAGCTCCGTCAGGGCAAGGGTTAGGGGCTAGGGTGCGTCCCACAGATGGCACAGGCTCCGTCAGGGCAAGGGTTAGGGGTTAGGGTGCATCTCACAGATGGCACAGGCTCCGTTAGGGCAAGGGTTAGGGGCTAGGGTGCGTCTCACAGATGGCACAGGCTCCGTCAGGGCAAGGGTTAGGGGCTAGGGTGCGTCTCACAGATGGCACAGGCTCCGTCAGGGCAAGGGTTAGGGGTTAGGGTGTGTCTCACAGATGGCACAGGCTCCGTCAGGGCAAGGGTTAGGGGTTAGGGAGGGGTTAGGGTGCGTCTCACAGATGGCACAGGCTCCGTCAGGGCAAGGATTAGGGGCTAGGGTGCGTCTCACAGATGGCACAGGCTCCGTCAGGGCAAGGGTTAGGGGTTAGGGTGTGTCTCTAACTCAGCTGGCACAAGCTCCGTCAGGGCAAGGGTTAGGGGCTAGGGTGCGTCTCACAGATGGCACAGGCTCCGTCAGGGCAAGGGTTAGGGGGGGGTTAGGGTGTGTCTCACAGATGGCACAGGCTCCGTCACGGCAAGGGTTAGGGGTTAGGGTGCGTCTCTAACTCAGCTGGCACAGGCTCCGTCAGGGCAAGGGTTAGGGGCTAGGGTGCGTCTCACAGATGGCACAGGCTCCGTCAGGGCAAGGGTTAAGACATGTTTATTAGTATAGCATTTTCCACAACACAAATCATTTTTACAGATGCGTCTTGATGTCCTCCTGATGTCGAGAGAGAAGAGCGAGATGAAGTGGAGCCCAGAACAACATTCCCGGAGCGAGTGATGCCAGTATAGATGAAGAGGATTAGATCACAGGATAATGTCTTATAAGTTCAGCAGATGTTGACCATGTTAATCATAATTATTAACCGCTCAATTCCCTAACGCTGAATTTATTTCCCCTGACCAGCACCTCGCTCTTCGGACTCTGAACATGAGCAATAAAGGGGTCTGTGTAAGTGCCTACTGATCCAGACTATTCGATCAAGTGTTAAAAAATTAACACAAAAGGGTTGAGGGTGTAAAATGATTTATGACGCACTATTTGGTGCTGAATGGGCATTGGTGTGTGTGTGAGGAGTCCCGCCCACCGAGCTGAAACAGCACGGGTCAGTTTAACCCTGGTTGGGGAATTTTTCCAGCACATTAAAAAATATTTTACACTGGTGTTGGCTTTCTTCATACAAGTGTTGGCTTTCCTGGTCCATTTATATGTAAATGTTCAGGGAACGGCCAGTTGAGCCGTGCATAACCTGAATTGTCTTCGGACAGTTCATGGATTTATTTTCCCCTGACCCAAACCCTAACCCTGACCGCTGGTGAACCCTGAAAGGTGGATGGGAAAAAGTAAAAGAAAAGAGGGCCAAGTCTCTCGAGACTGATGCAACAAAATGTAAAAAGCTCACAGAGCTTTCTGCTTTCAGTGCCACTGCCAGCAGCACTGCATCGCTCAGCCGGAGTGCAGAGGCAAGGCAAGGCAAGTTTATTTATATACCACATTTCATACACAATGGCAATTAGGGCTGTCGCGATAACCGCAATATTGCGGTACCGCGCTACTGACAGGCCAACCGCAGAGGAATGCAAGTAACCGCAGCAACCGCCAAACCGCGTTTTCTTCTTTCATAAGGCCACCCTTCGTAGTTCGTACCATGTGTATTGAATGTTAAATAAGTTAATAATGATAACAAGACTGTTTATCATGGTGATTTGTACAGAGGCTTCGTGGATTTGGAGATCGCCTGAGCGCGTGCGATTACCTGCGTCTGTCTTTGAAGTCAAATCATGTATATTCGTGAAAAGGTTGCCGTTTCAAAGGAAAGCGAAATATTTGTCGTATCATCCTTTTAACGTGTAAGGGTATTTACCATGAATGGCGTCAGCGCTGGTCAGCATTACACAGTGCGAGGAAGCCGTGGGGGGAAAGCAGCGAGTCACGCATTGGTCTCTATTGAAGCTGCCGTCGGCAAATTTTTTTTGATCATATTCAGTGAAATCGACACTATAATCTGACAGAACAACATAAATAAAGTGGTTTTAGAAAAAAAACCGAGCTTCTAACTCCACCTGGAGCGTGTTATTTGTTTTGCAAAAATCCACAGCTCCCGGTTCATCATGTCCAATCAGCGCAGGGGGGTGTGAGATCTGACTGTCAATCACAGATCGGGCACACGCCACCCCTCGCGCACGTTACAATCACATGCACAGGCCTGAAGTTCGCGCAGTAACGATGAGTGATGGCGGAAAATCAAGTAAGCTCATTTAGAGTATAAATGACGTTAGCAATTGCAATCTATCGGTAGATTAGCCAGGACAGCATACCTCCAAATACTCCATGGTGTTGATGGATGCTGATGAGACGGGCGCGTTCCAGGGCTCTCAAGTTTTGAAGACAGGTAAGAGTGACACCCAGCCGACGGGGGGTTGGATGCATTTTTGTCATTGGTTGTTGCGTTAAATCTTACCCAGATACAATCGTGCTATTTTCTGATTGGCTATTGTGTAGCTCGACGAACAACACCAGAGGAAACGCGCTTGATTCATGCCGGTTCCACAGTGAGAGTTTTGGGAGAGGGCGTGACAAAAGACCGAAATGAGTGACTGTCACGCTCAATGCGTGACACTTGAGAGCCCTGGCGTTCACTGAAAATCTGGTGCACACGCACTGACGAGCATGAACTTGGTGGGAGGGTATCCGTTGATAGTGGGGGAGGGGCATGAGAGTTGTAAACATTCAAAATGTTCCTAAATCCACTCAATCTGCCAGACTTGCCGACTGCAGCTTTAAGTGAAGCATTGCTTCAGCTTTGCCCAAAAGTGAAGCATTGCTGGCCAGCTGAGCCTTGAAAAGTGGAGCTCAAAGTTAAAAAAAATTAATTAACGCCTTGTTTCATTACATCTATCATTTAAGGAATCAGCTTTTTTGAACGTTTTCGTTGAATGAACGGTTTAATGACTCACTCAGTCTATGACTCAAAGACAGTCCGTTGGCATAACAATGTAACTGCGCGCTGAGTGACAGTCTTTCAATGCGCAGAGACGCTGTTTAGTTTCGGTTACATTGGTTACATTGTTTTTGTGCTGACCACATCATAACACGTATTTATAGCAACAAATAAATATAAATAAATAAATGGCGGTAATACCGCATATCGCGCTATTGAGCCACTCAAAATTACCGCAAGGGAAATTCCTTCATCGCGACAGCCCTAATGGCAATTCAAAGTGCTTTACATACAGAAATTAAAATAATCAAAACAAATAAGAATTATTAAAACAGTTTAGAATAAAAAATAAAATAAAGTAATACTGGTCCACCCCTATCTGAGATGGAAGAGATTGAGCCGGTTTACGGTGCCACTGGACCTCTAGCCCAGGGACGTACTCTTGACTGTGGATCCAGCGAGTGGACCAGCGAGTGGAAGCCGAGCATCTACAGCCGGGTCACGATGATCCACAGCCGGGTCACGATGATCCACAGCCGGGTCAAGATGATCCACAGCCGGGTCAAGATGATCCACAGCCGGGTATGATGATCCACAGCCGGGTCATGATGATCCACAGCCGGGTCATGATGATCCACAGCCGGGTCATGATGATCCACAGCCGGGTCATGATGATCCACAGCCGGGTCAAGATGATCCACAGCCGGGTCATGATGATCCACAGCCGGGTCAAGATGATCCACAGCCGGGTCATGATGATCCACAGCCGGGTCAAGATGATCCACAGCCGGGTCATGATGATCCACAGCCGGGTCAAGATGATCCACAGCCGGGTCATGATGATCCACAGCCGGGTCAAGATGATCCACAGCCGGGTCATGATGATCCACAGCCGGGTCAAGATGATCCACAGCCGGGTCATGATGATCCACAGCCGGGTCAAGATGATCCACAGCCGGGTCATGATGATCCACAGCCGGGTCATGATGATCCACAGCCGGGTCAAGATGATCCACAGCCGGGTCATGATGATCCACAGCCGGGTCATGATGATCCACAGCCGGGTCAAGATGATCCACAGCCGGGTCAAGATGATCCACAGCCGGGTCATGATGATCCACAGCCGGGTCAAGATGATCCACAGCCGGGTCATGATGATCCACAGCCGGGTCAAGATGATCCACAGCCGGGTCACAGGCGGGTCAAGATGATCCACAGTCGGGTCATGATGATCCACAGCCGGGTCAAGATGATCCACAGCCGGGTCATGATGATCCACAGCCGGGTCATGATGATCCACAGCCGGGTCATGATGATCCACAGCCGGGTCATGATGATCCACAGCCGGGTCATGATGATCCACAGCCGGGTCATGATGATCCACAGCCGGGTCATGATGATCCACAGCCGGGTCATGATGATCCACAGCCGGGTCATGATGAGGGCAGACAGCAGACTTCAGGACACATTATAATAGGCTGCCTTTATCCATATCTTAGCGAATTGCATAATCAGCTATCAACATGGGTGTGCATCATTATGAAAATTATCGTGCCATTTAGTGCTGTCAAACTTAACGTCTTTAATCATTTTTGTTAGGTTAATTTAAAACATTAAACGCATTAGAAATCGTTGTATATGAGGTAGTAGTGAGCTCACTTTCTCTGCTAGAATGAAGACTATGGTATTGAATTAAACAGGAGAACATCAGGCATGGATTGCTACCACTCTAAACATGCTAACAAACAGGAAAGAGGGAATAATTCACCAAATTTTAGTTTAACCAAAAAATCCTAGCTTGCACTTTCTGTCTGTCTTCTATCAGAGTGCAGTTTTTCCTTGTCTTTCATATTTGTGTTTACTATGGTGTTACCAGGGGTTGTTTGTGAAAGCTTCACAGACTAAATTAACTATATGTTTTATAATTACAAGTTTGTGTAATTTGGGGTTTCTGTAGCCAGTGACATTTCATTATTTGTATTTTATTTTCAATGCAGATATAATGGCATTGAACATTTTTTTGTTTTTATTTGAAGGCTGAGACTTCATTAATAAACACAACCCCAATTATCATCATTGGTTTAGAGACGTTACTTGCTGTGAACGCCTTGTCTGATAGGCTACAGTATCAGGACAGTGGCTAGTGTCTGTCGCGCACGGCTAGTGTCTGTCGCGCACGGCTAGTGTGCGTCGCGCACGGCTAGTGTCTGTCGCGCACGGCTAGTGTCTGTCGCGCATGGCTAGTGTCTGTCGCGCACGGCTAGTGTCTGTCGCGCACGGCTAGTGTCTGTCGCGCACGGCTAGTGTCTGTCACGCACGGCTAGTGTCTGACGCGCACGGCTAGTGTCTGTCGCGCACGGCTAGTGTCTGTCGCGCACGGCTAGTGTCTGTCGCGCACGGCTAGTGTCTGTCGCGCACGGCTAGTGTCTGTCGCGCACGGCTAGTGTCTGTCGCGCACGGCTAGTGTCTGTCGCGCACGGCTAGTGTCTAACGCGCACGGCTAGTGTCTGTCGCGCACGGCTAGTGTCTGAGGCGTACGGCTAGTCTGAGGCGTACGGCTAGTCTGATGCGCACGGCTAGTGTCTGAGGCGTACGGCTAGTCTGACGCGTACGGCTAGTGTCTGTCGCGCACGGCTAGTGTCTGTCGCGCACGGCTAGTGTCTAACACGGACGGCTAGTGTCTGAGGCGTACGGCTAGTCTGATGCGCACGGCTAGTGTCTGTCGCGCACGGCTAGTCTGTCGCGCACGGCTAGTGTCTGTCGCGCACGGCTAGTGTCTGTCGCGCACGGCTAGTGTCTGTCGCGCACGGCTAGTGTCTGGGCTAGTGTCTGTCGCGCACGGCTAGTGTCTGTCGCGCACGGCTAGTGTCTGTCGCGCACGGCTAGTGTCTGTCGC